TGGCTAGTCTTTTAAAAATAACCCTGTAGATATAATTATTGTTATTTATTCTTTGTTGCATTCGTTAAAACAAAAAAATACAAAGGACGGACTTAAGGCCTTGAGGCATTCTCTACCAGTCAACCCGTAACCCCTTTTCAAAACAGGATAATAAAACTCCACGTACCTCAAATTTAAAACATATGCTGAAATCATTATCAAATATTGGACCAAACAACATCCAATTGGAAGTATGCCATACTAACTTGAAATTAATCGTCGAAGAACTCTAAAACAGCGACCTAGAGTTGTGCCTTTATCAGTACAGCCGCATGTCAATATTTTTTAGATAATGAGATAAGACTTACGCAGTAATCTTATCAGTACAGAACTAGTAATTTAAGCTTTACAACTGTCTCTATTGGTCAAGAGCGATTGTTCCTCATGTGGTACCGGGTTCGAATCCCAGGTTGGACCAAAATTAGTTATTGAGTTTTTCTGTCAGGAAATTCTCAGTAACAGCCCGGTGCCAGAAAGAATACGGTGTTTCGCCCCCGTGTTGTGGAAAGCGCGTAAAGTCCATACCCCTGGTCTCCGGTTGTGTTGCATTGCCAACTCATTGGAATATGAGAGTGAGAGGACAGAGAGTTCACCTATACTTGCGCAGACACTCGTACACTGTTGGCTAGTCTCCGTTAATATAGGCCGCCATTGCAGATTTTCGGTCTGAAGCACATTACTTAAGCTATATCAAATAAGGTATGTTTGATAAATTTTATACGTGGTAGATCCAAGCTGCAGCTGTATTTTATCATAGAATAAGTGTGACAAACGAACACATAGTTCACGTGGTAGTAAGTGGATACTGTGGCCCATAGACGTCTACATCTATCCTCGGTTAAGAATCAAAATGCAGATATCCTGTCATCCAAGCGGACGAAGATTGAATGCCCTATTTCTAGTAAAATTCCAGCATTATGCTGCTTTGTTTCGTATGAGTCGTGACAAAAAGTGGAAACTTTTACTGGTAACAACGCATACACAAAAGTGACAACGCATCTGCATTTTGATTCTTTATTAATGATTGATGAAGGTCTCTATAAACCATAGCTTTTACTTACCATAAGGTGGAGTATGTTTTCTTTATTGAATAATGGTGACAAGCAACCACACAGGCCACCTGATGGTAAGTGGATACTATGACTCATAGACATCTACTTCTATCCTCGATTAACTATCAAAATGTTGTCAGCCCTGAGCAATAAGATGGAGTGCCTCGTATCCAGTATAATTTAAAAATAAAAATTTTGTACAGCCGACTTCAATATAAGTTATTAAGAATAACTCAAAAACTATTGGTTTGACCTTGGTCAAATTCATATGGAACCATATATGATGTACCAGCTTTCAAATAAAAAAAGAATCATTGAAATCGGTTCACCCAGTAAAAAGTTATGAGGTAACACACAAAAAAAACATCCAGTCGAATTTAGTACCGTCTCCTTTTTGGAAGTCGGCAGAAAAAGGGTATCTAATTCTCTACATTCACCGTACAAAACACAGCAACATTGAGCTGCTATTTTCCGCTAGTATTCTATGAGAGCATGGCCCTATCCCGTTTGTACCGACCTATTCGTGCTACAACCATAATATAGTTGCAGCGTGGCTCTACCACGTATAAAACCTGTTAATTTATCACCTTGTTTCAACTATTAGTAAGCAGTTTTTTATCACCTTAACTTTTTTTAAAGACAATATCGTAATGCCACTCATTTGTGGTACAATTTATTGTTATAGTTAACTACTTGAATATTATCTGCATTGGCCGTAAAGTGCCAAGGTGAAGTTAATCGGAATAATGATGTTGTTTGCAGTGACCCTCCTAGGATCTATTAAAGGCTTACCTACGAATAGACAATGTCGTTTCAGATTTTTACATGTTTCTAAAATACAATTCGAAACATACCCTCTACTAGATTTTCATCTGTTTTTCTTTTTACTCGTTTTTGTTACTGTGTATTAGCGGCTTAAAAAACACTTTTAATAAAAAAATAGAAGCAGACTTCAAAAATTTTAAAAGAATATTATTATACATACCGTTACGTACATATTATATATACCGTTTATTATTATAAACTACATATGTAATAAGTAAAAAATAATTTTTGTTTGTTCGTTTATCATTGTATCGTATCGTATTCATCAGATTGCGGCAAATCTTTGTCATTTTCTGCCGACTTCCAAAAAGGAGACGGTACTCAATTCGAGTGTATGTTTTTTTTTATGTGTTACCTCATAACCTTGTACTGGGGGAACCGATTTCGATGACTCTTTTTTTATATGAAAGCTGATAGTTCTCGTGTAGTCCCATATGAATTTGATCAAGGTCAGACCAATGGTTATTGAGTTATTCTTAAATAACTTATATTGAAGTCGCTTATATTGAAGTCGGCTGTACAAAATTTTTAATTTTTAATTATATTGCTTGCACTTCTGCGAAGGTTGTAGGCATAGTTGGACTCGATAGGTGATTTGTAGAATCCTGATACCACCTATGCGAAGCCGGGGCATATAGCTAGTCTAAGAATATAAATAATAACACACAAACCGTAGAATATTAAAGGCCTGACTTCAGACTGTAAAATTATTATAATATTCTTTTTATTTAGCTTTGAAGTCAGCTTTTAATTCATAATTGAATGGTCTAAGTCCGAAATTCAACGTCGTCAAATAGTTAGACTAAAACTTTCACCCCTATTTTGTCATCCTTACTTAGAGCTTTTTCGCCATATTTCTATGTGACCACCCCTGAAATTTAACCTATTTAATAAAATTAGAATCACCAAAATCGGCTTGCAATTGATGAAGATATAGCGTAACATACATACCAAAAAAACGAACATTCAGTTGAATTGTAAACATTGTCCATTTTTAAAGTCGGTTAAATAAAATGACGGCTTTCGATAGATGGGGTGAAATCCACCTTTATTTACGTCACACGTAAAATGCGCAACCATGACTTAACGTGCTTTCCGAGGCACGGAGCTTCATCACCGCTAAATTGCTGACAGAGAATTTCTCGACAGAAAAACCAAATGACTAACATTTTCGCGCGGTATTAAAACCCGGGACCTCATTATCAGTAATCGCGGTTACGACCACTTAACAAACGAGTCACTCAAGACAGGAAACAGATACTATTAGTTACTTTACGTAGTGTGTCAAAACTATTTTCGTTTTAACTTAAAAAATCCACACAAGACCGAATAGGTCTCAGGCCCTTAGAGTTCTGAATAAACTTTATTACGTACTAGCTGTTACCCGCGACTTCACCCGCGTGTAATTTAGGATTTTAATTTTGTTACGCGGAACCCTAAATATTTTTTTAAAATATAAGTAGCCTAAGTTACTCCTTATAACATGATCTATCTATCAGTGAGAGTCCCGTCAAAATCGGTCCAGCCGTTTTGGAGATTAGCCGTAACAAACAGACAGACAGACAGACAAACAGACAGACAGATAAAAATGTTAAAAATTGTGTTTTTGTTATAAGTACCGTATATACTTTCATATGCAATTAGTAAAAAGCTGAATTATTTTGACATCACAAACAGACACTTCAGTTTTATTTATTTGTATAGATGTAGATAGTTCATTCATCTCGGGAGTCGAGTTTCTATATTTTTTGCCTTTTTACCCGACTTCCCCTGAAAGAGGGTAATGTTCTTAGAGTGTATGTAAGTACGTATGTTTATCTGTTTTATATATGTCTCTTTGAACTGCTTGATGTTTTTAAAACGGGGGAATTTGTGTTAGTTGTGGAGGTGACATAGATAATAATAATAATAGTTTAACTTTTCTCTTTTTTAGTCAACTATTTACGCATTCGGATCTTTTAAATTACTATTTTATCCATTAGTTTAGATACTGATACATGAACTAAAATAATATTTAGTTTATAGTACCAGGCGTTACTTTGCGGACATCCATTATATTAAAAAGGTTAAAAATGTTAAAAATTAATTAGCCGAGATCCGCGAAATAAAATAAAACGATGTGACATACCTAGTTCGAAGAGCGACCATCATAGAAAAATTTAATTTTGATCATGAAAAATAATTTAATAAGGGTAAATAATCTTTCGTTCACCAGATGTCGCTAGTTAGGACTGAGGTGAAGTTTTTTGTGAACACGTTTTATGTACAAGTTTTTCAATTTCTAGAGTATTATAATATAAATACACAACAATGCCTCGGTGGTTTGCTCCTGAATATTTTTCACATTAATTCGTAGCTAGTTTTTTTGATTTATCTACTTTTAGCAAATTCCGTAGTTCGATTGATTCATTTCTAATGTAATTAATATATTACAGAAAGAAACATTAACCCTTTCATTTTCCTAACGAACTAAATTGCCCGCCATGTGTGCGTAAGTGGCGCCACGCTGGTGGAAAAAAATCGTGGATGCGGTGCAAGAATATCCATTACCCCAAATGGAAACAAATGAAAATTTTAAAAAAAACTGCGGTTCCCAACATGCCTGCCAAGCGTGACAATTGTGACAAAAATGGGCAAACGCCCATAAGAGGTATTGGATAGGTGGCGCTACAAAATATACAAGTTATAAACAAAACTTTTATTTAAAAAAATATATAATCTTTATCAGTAGTATTTAATTTGTCAAAGGTTTCTCAAGATGTCGGTTTCTTAGTATTAATATTTAGTTAATTGATTTTACAGTAAACAAGTGATAAGAAAATTCAATCTGCATTCAACTTGGAACGAGGGAACTGACAATATATAAGTGAGTAGCCCATTAGCGAAGACAATGGAACTAAAAGGCTTTGAGACCTTTACAAGTCATCGTTAAATTGGTAATATACATTAGCAAGATGCATCTACAATAGCGGCTAGCGTGACGTACGCGACCTGTGTCGTGTATATAATGCATTATGTATGAAATACAAATGAGATAAATCTCGCAGTCGCATTCATTTCGCCGTAAAAAAGAACTCAACTCACCTGAACTTTCCCTGGGAATGGTCCTCCCATTTAATTATAGATGGGCAGTATTTTGGATCCAGTAACAAGTTTCTTAAAAACTCCGGAACAGAGACGCTGCGGGGACGCTTGCAGACCTTCCTTCCGCTGCCTTTAGGCCGGCCGGGTGGTCGTTTGAACATCTTCCGTTTTTCCTCCTCGTCGCCGGACTTGCTTCCATCACTGCCGTACGAACACTCCGGAGATGCGGTCTCCGATGTCCGGAACACATCGTCATCACTCGAATCGCAGGGCGGATGCAGCAAGCCAGCATCGTTCGGCTTGTAGTCCGACGCGTACAATCTGTTTTTATGGTCCAAAGAGTCCAAATCTAACACTGTCTGCACTGCTTCGTGGTTTTGATATGGATCACTCTCCGCGTATCTAAACACGGAGGATTGCCGTAACATTTCCTCGTTTAAACGGGTGTGCAGCTTCTCAAATATCGTGTCTCCTATCCTTCTAGACACTGAAGGATCTATGTTCGGGTGTGCCATCTTCTGTATCACATCCTCCCTTTTCAAATTACGTAGCTCCATGCCGGATATTCTGAAGTTATAGAAGGGTATCTCGTATTCGCAGAAGCCCATGCTCTGTGCTGCTGTTTCGACTATCCAGGAGACGGTGTCATCTTCGGTCCAGTCCATGACAATTTTGTATTTCCATTCATCTCGATGGTATTCGCGCGAGCTTACCAGATTGTGGTAGACGTTAGCGGCGGCATCAACTTCTGGTTCATTATACACATCGTAGTTGTTATTGTAGTAGCTCCCGTAAACGTACGGGGTGCTGCTTTTTCTGAAGACTTGAAAGTCGTCGAGGCGCGCGGGCGCCGGGGGAGTGGGGGGTAAGTAGAGTTCGCACATGTTTTGCTCGTAGGGACGCGCGTAATCGAGCATGGCTGCGTGCGAAGCGACCGAGTGCTCGCGTCGGAATGGAATGGGCGACGCGGTGCGGTCTCTCCTTATGAAATACTCGTATACGTCGACGATTTGTTTACTAACTCGCTGCGTTGCGTACAGAGGCGTGCGATTTTTCTTACCTAGATTATGCACCGCAGATGTTAAGATATCTCACAAATGTAGGTATCGGTACACGTGACTCCCAATCGGTAATTATCTATAAGTATTTGATCAATTATTTGCTGACCGACACATCATGCTGTTGTAAAATAAATAAATTGTATTTTTAATACTGACATCAAACAGATTGCGAAAATTCGTATTTATAAATATTTTCATTATAGTTTAATATTTTTTTACAAGGTAGAGTCACAAGTCTACTACACGTTCTCACAGAGTCCTTACGTAAAGTATCAGCATAATGTTCTTGTTTGTTTATGGTATTTTTTTATAAAATAAGGGTGACAAACGAGCACATATTTGACTTGATAGTAAGAAAATCGTGTTGCCCATAAACATTCACATCTATCCCCACTTAAGAATCAAAATGCAGATGCTTTGTCACTGTTGAAGTTTAGGATGGAATACCACATTTCCAGAAAATAGGTCTCCGGTTCTTTACAATCACCGTACGAAATAAAGCAAATTTAAGCTGCTATTTTACGCTGAAAGTTTGTATTTATTTATTTTTTATTTTATAAACTAAGGGTGAGCGCAAGGGCCATCTGATGGCAAATGAATGCTATGGCCCATGAAGGCTTATATCTCTTCTGGATTATGAATCATAATTTATTAGATGCGTTGTCATCCCTGAGGATGAAGATGGATTGCCTCATTTCCAGAAAAAGTCTCTCCATTTCCGTACACTCACCATACGAAACACAGCAGCATTAAGCTGCTATTTCGCGCTGGTGTTCTGTGAGAGCGTGGTCCTTTCCCGGTTGATCCGAGTTATACGTGCTACACTCATAATATAGCTGCATCATGGCTCCACCACGTAAACAGAATAATGAGAGCTGTAATGTAGTAAGTTTTGAGAGCTGAAAGCCCTTGTAATGTAAACGAAGCATTCCAGTCTTAGTCGTCAGCGGTGACAGCGTATCTGCATTTTGATTCTTAATCAAAGTTAGATATAGCTTCTTTTCACGTGGACTATGTAGTATTTTTTATCCTAAATTATTTAACAAAAATAAATTATCTCGAAAATAAAATCAACTGTTCCCATTTAGCATTTATTTCATCATCGTCATCATTACGGCCCTTCATAAATCCACTGCTGAACATATGCTTCCTAGAAGGAATTTCACAAGGTATGATCATCCACCTACTTCCTGCATCTCATACCAGGTCGTCACTCCATCTAGTGAGGGGCTTTCCTACACTTCATATACCGGTACGCGGCTGCCATTTAAGAACCGGTCTTTCCCATTAACTATCGGTTCTTCGAGCTAGGTGGCCAGTCCATTGCCACTTTAGCTTACAGATCCATAGACACAAAACATAGTCAAACGAATCAGTAAGTTTTAATTTAAATTTATTAAAAGAAAAATAGAACGATAAGGCACAAATATTTTAGAGCTTGTTGTCGCGGCGTGAGTAGGTAGTCTTGAAGTCTTGAAAGTAATTGCCTATATTTACTTTTTGAAATATTGTTTTAGGCGATAACGTTTTCACCCCCCCCCCCCCAAACCTTTACGAAACGAGGCCTAGTTCACTTTAATTTGATAAAAAAAATAAAAACGCTTGAAATGCTAATAACTTATATCGTATGCAAAATTTCTTTACAACGAAAACGTACGGAACTAGTTTTCCATTCTAACTATATATCAAAACAAAAAAAAAATTGAAAATTAGAGTTTGTTTATGGTGAGAAAAACGTTATCGCATTTTGTATGAAAGTTTACAGTTTCACAATCCTATTTTACTTCATCACTATCAATATCTTAAAAACCCTTCCTTGGTAGTCAGGTAAAAACCCGTAGCAGATCAAGCAACAGGAACTTTCTAACCTCTACGATTTGGTAGAGTTACGCTTAACGTGACTCTACGTAATCGTAGACGTAATGCTACGAGGAAAAGAAAAGAGTTTTCTTTAATGTTTTTTCATTATAACACACAATACCTCTAATTTTAAGAAGGTAATACTATTAATAAATATCAAATAGAATAAGATTCGAGTGTATACATTTGGGCCGTGTACTGGTGGTGTAAAAGATGTTTGTCATGTCGTAAGAGGCGACATAGGGGAAACAAACCAGTTGGGCAGGATACGGATGACAAACGAGCACACAGTTCACCTGGTTGTAAGTGGTTACTCTGGCCCATAGACATCTACATCCATCTTCGTTTGCGAATCATAATGCAGATGCGTTGACAGTCGTAAGGACTTAAATGGAATGCCTCCTTTCCAGTAAAAAGGGTCTCCGGTTCTCTACACTAACGATACCAACACAGCAGTGTCAAGCTGCTATTTTACGCTGGTATTCTGTGAGATCGTGGTCCTTCCCCGGTTGAGCCGACCCATTCGTGCTACAACTATACTACTAATATAGCTGCAGCATGACTCTACCACGTAATAAAATTAAAAATTACTATCGAAATTTAAACATACATATTATACATAACCACGCGCAACACCTCGATCTTCTTATCCTTGGATAGTTTTCCTGCTATAGATATTTTCTCACTGATGCGTCTCACATAATGCTACCAAAGGTCAAATTTTGAAAACTTGTTTATCGACGCAGTGGAGTAATTTAGTACGATATTAAAAATCAAAACCGTCACGTTTTCTCGCAACGTTTTCTTGTAGCATTTCACCGCCGGGACTGCGTGAGTATACTATTATTTGACCAACTTATGTAAAATACAAAATAAAAGAAGAATGATATGTTGTATAGATGTTTCACTTCATACGTGTGTGCACAATTACACACACAAGTATAGTTACTTTTCAACCGACTTCAAAAAAGAGGGGGCTCTCAAATTAGACTGTATTTTTTATGTGTGTTATAGAACTTTTTTTTAGATACATTTCAGTAAAGTTAAGCTAAGTAAAGTGAAAGTAAAAGTTATCGGTAGTTCTTGAGCTATCCTTAATAATGCGCATTTAATTGACTTCGAGTACATTGATGATGTTCTAATTTTATTAATATTGAAGTCCGTTGTACAAAACTTTTAATTATACTACATGTTTTTTAGTTTATGACCTACCTATGGTATTGATAAAAATAGTCAAAGGAAAGTAAAATCGATATACGTCTCAAAACTAGCCACAGGTCACATGAAATCTTTGGAGCGGGGAGTGATCTCCCTCAAAAAAAAAAAAACACTTCACATGACATTCTCGTTACTAACAACACATGACATCAAAATTTTTAATCTTAATTTTTAAGACTTTCAAGTTTCCTCACGCCGTTTCTCTAGTTTTGCTTCTTTGCCGAGCACGTGATAAAACAGCATTTTAAATTGCGTATTATAATTATATAATTATTCACTAGCGATTCACTCGCTTAAAATTTTAATTCGCTTATTATCTGATCTTTAACGTAGCAAAGTAATCTTATATCCAATTTAAAACAACATGATACTTTTATACTGATAGGTAAAAGTATCCTCTAATTTCTAAAAAGGTTTTCGATCAATTTGTATACCGCGGTACTCTAGAGCAAGTTGGCGGAAATTTCATATAACCTTAAGATATTTTACACCTCGAAACATAAAGATTTTCCCATAATACTTTCCTTGACTCACCCTTTTTACTGGAAAAGAGGCATTCCATCTTAGTCCTCACGGCTAACAACGCATCTGCATTTTTATTCTTTATTGATGATAGATGTAGATGTATAAGGGCCGCAGCAACTATTCACCATCAGGTGGACTGTGTGCTCGTTTGCCACGCTTCTTTTATAAAAAAATCGACGTCTGCCGGGCCGGTATTATAATGTATAATTTTGCAGGCAGGGATTAAACTGGTGAAGAAATTCAAGGCGAACATCCGCGTAGCAAATATGACATATTAAATTCTCCTATGGGATGTAGAAATATTTATTTAATTTTTACGTATTGTTGTTTAATATTATGAACAGTTTAGCAGTGAAAATTACTTAAAAAAATTTACTTGAAACAATTTGAATCTTGAACCTATTAGTAATTATTGTAGGTGATAGGTATGGGGTAAACGTAATAATACAGTGCGGTGTCGTCAGTCAGTCTGCCTGGACTGTAAGAGTGGAAACCTACCTGATTCATACATTATTCTTTCACGATGCTGCGGTCACTGTGTTTAATGGAGCAGTCCCATAAATGACTAGTAAGTTTTATGTAATTAACGTAAGTAGCTTATTATCAATTTAATATCCCTTTGGGCATTTCCCTTCTGGAATTAATAATTATAATAATAATGCCCTCCATACCGAATATCAATCCCGGCGGCAAGTCTTAATGGAAACTAACCATCTGTGCGAACCAAGTACAGTTGCACTCTCTATCCCTCACTCTCGCGGGACCAACGGCTTGCGGTGCTATCCGGTACCAGTGATAAAACATTTCAAATTATGGAATTATTGATTTCCCTAACAGTATTTGCACGTAAATAAGAATATAAGGGGAGTTGGTCGAAGAAGTAGATGAGTTTGTGTATTTGGGATGTGTATTTAACAGGGATGGTAGATATTATAAGGATAAAGAACGACGAGTGAACGAAGGAAATAGAGTGAATGGGGCTCTACACTCTATTGTGGGAAGTCAGAATGTGTCCAAATAGGCACATATGGCAATTCAGAATGCTGTGTTAGTCCCTACTTTAATTTATGGTAGTGAAAGTTGGGTGTGGCAGAAGAAGCACGAGCGTAGAATAAATGCTGTAGAAATGCGGTAATTAAGGAGTATGTTAGGGATGAATCTTAATGACAGAGTGAGAAATTGTTTGGTAAGAGAAGAGCATGGTTTGCAAAATGATGTCGTGACCAGGATTAAGAAAGGAATGCTTCGGTGGT